GGAAATTGTTAGAAGGTGTCAGTATTTGAGCCTCTTTTATAGCTAGTATATTACTATGCCATTGTTTTATACATCTCATGGTTATACTTTTCTGCTGGACATTCAAGACCAAATTAAAGGGAGACCTGTATTAATTAAAATTAATTTCTTGGGCTGGGGATTTAGCTCAGCAGCATAGCGCCTGCCTGGCAAGCATGAGGCTGTGAGTTCAATTCCCGGTACTGGAAAAAATAAATAAATAAATAAATAAATAAATAAATAAATAAATAAAATCTATAATCTTTTCTAACTTCTGCACTACAATTCCAATTTGACATAGTATGCATATGACACAGACTTTTCAGTTGGCAGGTTGGCCTGCTTGAGATCTAATCACTTTAAACAACCTGAGGATTCCAGTTAAACAAAATAAAGTGCAAGTTTACATAATAAATTTCACACAGTGTTAACAAATCCAAAAGCCCTCACCCTGTTTTGATATAAAAATGTGTGCCAGTATTTTACCATCTTACCTGTCAAGAACCTGGCAAAATGCATAGTCACTTTCTTTTGTAGCATAAACAATTGTTCAAATTTTTTTCTTTGATGCTTGTTTTGTGGGACTTAAACCCTGTATTAGTTTGTTCTTCTGTCAGTGCTAAAGAAAAATGACCTAACTTCGCCACTTGTGAGTTTCAGGATTTTTCGTTTGCTTTGTGAATTCGATTCTGTTGTATGAGGGCCTTTGTATACTATAGTAGGACTAACATACTGCCCTGGGTTCAAACTTAGTTTCATACTTCTACTTGTGAGACCTGGGTAATTAAGTATCTTGACTTTCAGCTTTTGTGTGTATGATAAAATGACCTACCTTGAAGGGAAAGATCAAGCAGGCGTTTGATACCTACTGCAGGCTCAAAATCATGATGTGACAGTTACCACTTTATTATCACCCTAGCAGCCCTCCAGGAGTAAGAGCTAACCTGCACTCTCCTCATCTCATTTTTTCTTGCTTTCCTTACTGCAGTTTGCTTATCTGCTCAATTCTGATCTATAGGTAGTGAGCTGACTGACCACAGAATTCTTATCAATTCTAAATGAATCTTCATGAGTTTTTAAAAGTAGAACTATGTTTAGCTTTTTGGAGAAAAATTCAATTTGCTTAAGGCTCTCAGATTTCCCCTAGCCAATATTTTACCTGAGTAAATCACCTTCATTGTGATATTTTGGGTTACTTTAGTGCATTTTTATATAAACAATGGCTTCAGTAAGGGCAGCTAAATACATTAAATAGTGTCTGCTGAATCAGCACGGGAAAATTTTACCTAATGCCTACTCTTTTACCAAAGCCTTTAAGTTATTTTCCCTTTTAAACATCCACTAATACACAATATTACTAATACTAGGAAGCCTAGTATTCATGAAACAATGTCTATACATACTATTAACTAGTATTAATACTAGTTAAACATTAAACAAAGTATTAACTAGTCACTTAAAGAACTACCGTGGTTCCACTGTTTGGAACAACCATGTAAAAATTGCTGGTCTTCCCTACCAATAATATTTTCATGAAAATAGTGTATAAAACTAAAATTTTCAGTAATTTTCAAGTGCATTTGTGAAACTTAAATACATTTCTCTTTCTTACAAGTCAATGATGGCAAACCTTTTCAAAGCGTTCGATAACAAACAGCCCACGGAAGCACACATGCTACAGGTTCCCACCACTGCTGTAGGTAACAGGAATAGGGAAATTGAGAGATCTCATTTCAAAAACATGATTATAATGGAAAAATATAATCATGACTAATTTTCTAATAAGTCTTCCACATCACAATGTGTTCTAATGTCTGTTAATTGTGAGAATTAACTAAATTTCATTACTTATAGAATATTGGCATACTTAGCATTATTTTTATATTATAATTTTGCTAAATTCTACAATGTTTCAGCTCACTGTGAAATATATTATTAAATAGAAACACATAACCTACTGAATTATTTTCAGTCAGGTTTTTCAAGAAAAGTACTACAGTAAAAGCACTATTTCCTTGAAAATTAGGCTTGTGGGCTTATTTATAAATGTTTTTAATTTTGTTAGTACATGTTTACAGTACACAGTGATTACATTCACTGTGAAGAATTAGTACATGTACATAATGCAACCCTATAAATGTTTAAAAGGATGACTCATAATACTATTAAAATGTACTTTCAAAGTCCAATGATCCAAGTTCAAGAGACATTATATGTCAATTTTAATCCTTAGGCTAAAACAAAGGAAATATATATATTTTCTTCTAAACTTTTATGGCAATTATTTTTCACATTCAGATACCTTAAGTCCTTTCTAAAGCAAAGTGAAATACCAAAAAGTAATTGCCAAAAAATGTTTAAAATTTCCTAAAATTTACTTTTAATGAGAATAGTATTTTCTTTTAAGATTTCATTTCTAACTATAATGCCTGCCCTTAGAAAAGATAGAAAGTGATCCCTAGCAAAAGATAATGTCCTGTTGAATAAACAGTTGTTAATTTCCATTGTATCAATTTAATCATGCCATTTCCCCTGGGTTCTAATTGGACTCTTACATTGAAATGAGCTAGGAGTTCTTTTTTTGTGAAAATGTGGGGGGGGGGGAATATCTCTTTTGCTATTTAGATGCTGGTAATCTTCCAGATTTTTTAAAATTATGATTAAGAATTAAAATGGATAGCACTAGGTTATAAATTTTTCATTTGTTTCCTGGGTAACTTAAAATTTTAACTTGTTTCCCACCAGTAAATTAAGGTATCTCCTCTCAGCTTTTAGAAATGCTTACGGCTGTAACAAGATTTTAATGTTTTCTGAACAGCAATATTAGTATTTTCAAAATATATACACTGGGCCTGGGGATTTAGCTCAGTGGCACAGTGCCTGCCCAGCAAGCACAAGGTCGTGAATTCGATTTCTGGTATGGGACAAAAAACAAAAAAAAACAAAATACATACACAATGTAAGAAAAGATCAAAAAATGAATCTAGGGGAACTAATTCTATAGCCTTCACCAAACTAATTTAGAAAACAAAATGATTTATAACACCGTGGCTATTTAGGGTGGCATTAAAAAAAAAAAACTCTCTAAATATACCAATAACCTTTGAAACTTTAATGTACAGAGTTGAATGGCTCAAATGAAAATTTAGAATAAAATTTTAGAATAAAATTTTATACTGTATTCCGAGTACATATTGGTTCAGTGTGAAAGAAAATTCTAACACCACTGCTGAGGTGTCTATTCAGAGCTGACCCTCCTGTGGGGCCTTCTCTGGATTACCCTATCCAGTAATGCATCTCTCTACCTTGAAGTCATTTCCCTTAGCTGACAGCTCCACATTTTCCCCCACTGCACTATCTGTGGTATGCTTCCTGTTTAGTATCTATTTATTCTCTTGCTAGAATGTAAGCTCCACAAAATGAGATTTGCTATTTACTTACTTGTATACCAAACACCTCCAAGAATGCTTGACACAGATCTCAGTAACTATTGCTCAATAATTTTCCAATGTCTTGCAATTTAGTTTATTGCATCAGATCGTTTAAAGATGTCATTTTGCATTATTAACTCGTTTGCTCAGGCAACCTTTCCCAAAATTTTTCCAAAGTACTGTATTAGTTACAAGCTATGCAAAATTCCAAAATATCAGTGTAAAGTTTTGCTGCTTACTTGTGCTGTTTTACCAGTTCAATACAGGGAAAGGAGGAATTCTACTCTGTATAGTACTATACTCTGTATAGAAACTCCACACTCAGGTTGACAGTGCTGTACCACCTAGGACCTATCAAATCCTTGGTCACTGCACTAGAAGAGAAAAGCTGGGGAGTACAGAGTACTTTTTTCACTGCCTTTACTTGGGATTTTTATAGCGTTTTCACTGATCTTTGAATGAACTAGTTGCACGAGCCCCATCCAACTCCATGAAGGTGGAAACTTAGGGAAGCAAATGGCATGTCTGGTGACTGTCATCGTACCATATGCATCTCTTATTTCACAGCATGTCTCACAGCTTATAATTATTTCAATAAAGTTTATTTCCTCTACTGGAGTATAAGCCATGAGCAAGAATACGTTGTGTCTGTTTTGCTCACTAATGTTTTCTGAACACATAACAAGGCTGATAAATATTTGCTGGATGAATAAAAAGCTAAAAACAAACAGTCAAAATAATTAACCTTTTTAATTCTTTAAAGGAAAAATACTCTCCATAGGAAGGCATTTCTATTCTTATGTCCATCAGTAGCCAAATGGAACTTGATATAAACATTTCCAAAACGCCAACTTTGGTTTAATGTACAACTTTGAAAATAGCTCATTAATGTACATATCAAGATGCTACTAACAAATTCATTAATATCCAAGTTCACTAATGTATGCCAAAGGTTGTCCCGGGTTAACATTTTCATTACAATGAACTGCAAAATTCCAGTGAGAAATGTTTGCCTGAATCGAATTATTTAATCTCTAAAGTTAATGTAGCACTCTTGAAAATCTAATTCACTCAGACACACTCCACAAACATACACACAAATGCACACATGCACACGCACAAACTGTTCACTAGGGCATAAGGGCAATTTAATGGAAACAAGTTAGATACTGAAAGGGCATTTGTAAAGGTGGGGTATCATTGACAACTGTAATAGAATAGGCAAAAAATCCTAGAGGCGCACATAAATAATAGCCAACAAGTGATGTGCTACTGAACACCACACCTAAACATTAAGAATTTCACTGCAGTAAACAGATTTGGCAAACTGCAACACTAAAGCCATGACTACAAGCTTTGCTCCTTCTACACAAACAAAATCTCTAACTATTGTAAGGACAGATGAGAATCCACATGCAACAGAGAAGATATAAATTATTTTTAATTTTTAAAAATGAAAAATATAAATCCTTGTTAAACACTTCATTTAAAAATATGTTGCTTTATTTTAAAATGTGGTAATGCTCAAAGATGGCAGTTAACGTCACTCATATGTAAAAATGTTTTAAAAATATCAATACATTGGTTTATAAGTTATATATACTACCCTCAGCTAAATGTCTTCACCAAAATTCTCAAAAAGCTATCAAAAAGAGTTGTACATTCTAAACTCACCATAATAATAAACCTGGTTTCAGAGCTAAGGGCAAACCATCCATGAAATAGTATTTCTGATGTGATGCAAATCACATGGGCATGCAGATTTAAAGACAAGTGATGAATCCACAGTAGTTTTGCTTTTTGGGGGAAGGGGGAATGGGTGTTAAAATAATTGGCTCTAAATTGAGCAACTTCTTACCACTATACAAACTGAAAAGTCCATCTTTCTTTTCCAATCTAAAAGGGAAACAGAAGTGATGAACTATTAATATAGTGTTTTATATATTCTACTTAAAAATGGTTCTTGAATACCCACAATTTTAAGCTTCTCTATGCTAAATAAATGTAACTGATTTACTTAGACATATACCATCATAATGCCAACAGTATTCATGATTAACCCACTGAATTGGACTCTCAGTAACTATATGATCTGCACTTGTAACATTAGAAAGTGTTCAAATCACTTTCCATTCTGTGAAGCAATGGAACATTTTCCATGATGAAAATATGAAGCAAGGCTAGGAATATGCACAGTATAAATTTCATTTTCTTAAATATATACATGAATATACACAAAAAACAAGATTGTATAGTCACTAAAGTATTAATAATGGCTATCTCTCCAAGTGTTGAGATTATAAGTGATTATTTTATTGATGTTAGGAAATTATTCTAAAAATGGACAACTTAAAAACCAAAGAGTACTATCACCAGTGAAACTGTTCTGTCTTCACATTATAAATGTTTAAAGCTGCCAACCAACATTAATTTGTCAGCGTGGCTACCCATATTCTGATATACTTATAAGGAAGATTTCTTGAAAGATGGAGAAATAAGATCATGGTCATAAAAATCATGGTCATGATTTTCTCTAAAAACTACAAACTGATAAGCAACTTTGCCACTAGGATTCCTATATAGCTATATAATTTTATAGGAAAATTAGTCTCTAATATCTCATCTTTAAAAATTTTCTCCATTATCCTGTTTGCTATTTTTTACATCCTGTCCCTGCAAGTTTTAACTGAGTATTATTGTTTCCATTCACAAAATTTTCTGCACTAGCAATAGCACTGCTAATTCAGTTACAGTAAGCCATTTAAGACTCAGCTTTAGGTACAATGCCAATTATCTGGCAAAAATAAAAGAACCCAGAGTTTCAAGTTGGCAGTAAATTAAATTTAAGGGCCTTGATTTTTTGTAAGCCTTTAGAAGCCTGCATGTTAAACACTGGTGATTTTTAAATTCTCAATGGAAATGGTGATGGCATTCACTGAATCACGCCAGCTTAAGTTACAACATCGTGTAGGCATGATACAATCAAAATGCCAATAAAGTCTTATTTTGCAAACATCACCAAAATATGTTCTTATAAATCAAAACACTATCAGACTCCAGGATAGTTTTCATATACACTTATTGTGAATATACACACACTTCACACTTCATCTTATACATTATTCACATTTAAGTCACATGGAGAACATGTAAACTTGAAACATTAAATCCACTGTTACATTAATGGTCTGCTTTACTATCAAAACATTTGTAGAAGCTATACTTTCACTTATTACCTTACTATGTTGTTGAAAGGATATGCCTCAGTCTAAGTTTCCTAGTATATCTGAAATAAAATTAAAGTACACAAGGTCTTTTAAACTATTCTGAAATTTCACTTTTTATGTAGCATAAGTCACAAGGAAGAGATGAAGTTTCCCATGTTGATGGCAGAGTAAATAATTATAAAGGAAAAGCCATAAAATTGAAATCTGAAGTATCAAATCCATTTGGGGAAGTTGTCTTCAGACATTTGGCTCAATAATATAATATAAACAGTTCTACAAGAATCTGGAAACTTGTCAGGATTAAAATTATTATTTCATGTGCCTGGACAATTAATTAAGTGGTGACTAAGCCTTGAAAAGTGTTTCTCTTAAACATGACAGATATACTACTCCTAAGAAAAAGCCATGCTTTTATAAAAAGCCCACTGACTCTAACAGACAACAGGAGGGTGGGCAGGAACCTTTGAGAAAACATAATCCTATTTGGCTACCCATTACTAAAAATTTCAATGGATTTATGCAAATTTAAATTATAAATACTCTCATTTAATAAAACACCCACACAATGACAAGAATGAGACTTTAATCAGTTTTAAGTGGAGTTTATAACACTAAGAGATAAAGGGTTGTTAACAAACACAGTAACAAATGGACATCTGATTGGTATGAGGCATTATCCTGTACACATCGTTTTGTGTGTGTGTGTATGTGTGTGTATCCTCAGTGCATAGCATTTACACACAGAGCCACTGCTGCACAAGAATATCTGAAGAGGCTGAATCAGAGTAAGGCTGTTTAACAGACTGAAATGTTTAGTATATATAGTCTATATGAAAAGATTGAACTTTTGAACTGGCAGATAGAAGGCAACTCTGCCAAATACTACAGTTAAAGCCCCCACTTGAGTGCACAGTTCCACCCCTTCCATCTGCATGCATGACACATTAACAGTATTTAAAGGTAAACGAGGCACTTTGTGGCAACCACAGCCATCGTTATGAACATATTGCACAAATTTTCTAGAACTAAACATGTAACTTGTACCCTACTTTTATTTTTTAAAGCTGAAACATTTGATGCTGCCGGTAAACTCCACTTAAGTTTATAACCTGTGCCACAGCAAAGAATGGTGATGCTATTCAACTACCCTTTTATAATTATGGCAAAAATATCCAAGAGGAGTTACAGAGGATTTGGGATGGTACAGGGCCCAATTGTAAGCTTTCTTAGAAGTGGTGCCTTCAAGTAACTTCAGACATGTAAGCTGCTGCACATACAAAAAGTCTAAAAAAACATTCCAAAAACTTGGGAGAAATTACTATAGAATGCATTTCAGGCTAATTATGAATACTGTCATAAATAAAAGTTTTAATTAGGACTTGAAAACTTTTCAGTCATAGCAATTCTTGTCAAATTCTATGGGGATGGTAACTGAAATAAAGGAGAGTATGTATAATATATATTTATATATATATATAATATATATAATGCCATTTTTCCATTTCCAATGACTACACCATAAAATGTAAGCAAGGCTTCTCAAAAACACTGAAACATTCAAAATCAAAACCCTCATTCAGACCTTCACATTCCAAAGGAAAAATAATAACAGTGCAAAAGCCCATTATAATATAATTATTTATAACCTGGCCCTTCATGTTACATATCGAAACAATGCAAATTATGCTTTAATATGCTGTGCCCAAAACTGTAACAAAAAACAGTATTGATAACTATCTCCAAAAAGTAAATAGTTGATTATCATTTTAGTCAATTTTCAGCTTTCATGAAAGACAAAATGGCATGTTAATTTCAGTGGGGAGATCTGTGGAATAGTCTCTTACTTTACCAATTTAACTTAATGAGCAGTCAATGAATACTCTATATTATCAATGTTTAAATACAAATGTGTAAATCCTAATAGCTTTGTTAAAAATTTAAAAACTTTATTTGTTGAATGAAACTGATGAGGTATGGAAAATATGTCAACATTATTTACTAAGAATATTTTAGATGAAGTTCTGCCTAATCTATTTACCATTAAACTCTATAAATGCTGCTCTAATAAGTCCTATGCAATCCGTGTTTGTGAATTAACTAGGTCAGACCACAGCTAGTGAACAATTTCAGCACCAATAGGTTATTGAAAATGGGATTTTACACCAATAGGAAATATAATGGCTGGGTGTTCAAATGTCAAGGTCAAGGTATAATTTTAAAGACATCGCATTTCTGGGGGAAAAATCTTTTTAATAGTATCTTCACATTAGCTTTACAATAGTAGTTATACTCTGCTTAAAATCGTATGCAGTCTGGGCATATCAAATATATGATGATATTTAAGACATGAATTGAAGCCTTAGTTTCCAACTCTAGCACTATGAAGAACTGAATCAACACTGCACATTAAAAAAAAAATCTGTTCTTTCAATAACAAATTGGTAAAGCATATGTAGGACAATTTCTACTGAAAAATTAAATGCCTTATTTGTGCAGTGTTGAAAATTTACTGCAACTCTAATTTCTTTTTTAACACAAATTTTTTTAATATACACATTATATGTATTCAGTATTCAAGTAAAATTCCCTAACAGTTAATGACATTTAAAAAATGTGCAAAACTGCAAAACTCATTGTAATAGAATGTGTAAGGTCAAAAGGGTAGAACGGCTGACAGCTACTGGATTGAATAAGTGCATCATAAATCTTTAAAGAAAAAAAAAAAACCGCTTACTGTAGAATCTCGAAATTTCCTGTGCAGCATTACAAAGTATTTTATATTTAGTGAGTAAAAAGAAGCTTGCACGCAGCACATGAAGCATCCACAGCAGGTATATGATTGAAACCTAATAAACTGTTGACTGATGTAGGTACTAATAGCATCTGACTTTTAGCACTGGTCTTGATTACACAGGAGATGGAGCAGTCATTACAATTGAGAAAACATATTTAAGAAATCATTGTCAATTTTTATAATGTTTCAAGCCCATTCTTTGTTGATAGCCTCCACATTTATATGGTTAAGTCATTGTTGCTGTGTTTCTTATCTATGACCTCATCATTTTTATTTCCCTTCATTTGTGGATTCTTAAGATGTTGCAGAAGGTTCATTCCTGTACCCCAACACAGATTCACTCCCTCTAGCTGCCTTTTCTAGCACCAATATGCTTTTTTAAAAAATGCACAAACAACAAGCAGTGACAGCGGCCAATTCCTCAAATGTCCAGATTAGTAACTGTAGCATGCTAAAGAAAGGTGCATGTAAATAGCTGGAGATGGTATATGGTCCAGAATCCAGCATAAAATATACTCCTTTCTGAGCACTCCCTCCATTCCCTTAACCCAAATACATGCATTAGGATGCAGCAAAAACCCTTTAGAAACTTCTCTTAGCCAACTGCGAACTTATCTGTTGCCACAAGTGCAAAGGGGTAGGATGTGAACCTGTAATTCGCAAAGCTCTTTAGCCACTTCAATTGGTGACAGAACACAAATTGGAAAAATTCCCAAGTATACACATCAGTCTGTCTCCACTTTTTAGAAAACTGGAATAAAATGGGAAAGTGCCATTTTTATTTATCCTAATTAAATTTTAAATGTCCTTTTGACACAAAAAGGTATATACATAACACAGCTACACAACCTTTTTTCAACTGGACAACAAGTGTCAAAACCCTGTGGATGTATAGGGTAAAACAAGATTGGTCAGGAAAAGAGAATTGTTCCTATAACTGGTAATCTGACACAATGTCCTATTGCCATTAAAAAAAAAAAAAAGGTCCATTTTCAGTTTATTCAAGTTTGTTTTCATGGTTTTTAATTCCTCTTGATAAAAAAAAATCAGACTTTTGTAATTTGTGTGTGCTGATCTTCATCAAAAGGCTCGTTCTCTGGGTCAGAGTCAGTGGTGTCAGAATATCTATAATGATCAGGTTCATTGTCACTAACATCTGGCGTTACGGAAGTTGAACTGCTAGCCTCTGGATTTGATGGCTCCTCTACTGTTTTTGTGAAGTACAGCTTCACCTAGAGAAAGAAAATTTAAAATGAAAATCCACTATTATGGCTAATCTTAAATTATTTAAGTAAAGATAACATCTTTAATATTCTTTCTCAAGTACTATAAGCATGATCCTTAAAGGGTAAGTGACTCTCAAATGACTCATTCTTAAGATTTCCTACAGTTTCATTCTTGCTATGTACTGAAAAGATAAACTGAAACATTACCATATTTTTTAAGAAACATAAGCTATAAGCACCTAATTCTGTAAAAGAAATGCATAATGAAGGTCATCAAGAGGTTACATAATATATAGTTTTTCCATCACAAAATACAATTCACAAATGGCTGAGTTCCAAAAGAATACTTTTTACTATCTGTGTGAAACTTGTGCTTTCTGGTGCTAGTAATACTATACAAACAACCCTAAATGCTTCACCCTACAAGGAGAAAGAAGAGAGAAGTTAACATAGATCATACACTGATCTGAACTGTGGGCTAATGGCATGCACAGTCAAAATATTTGTCAAAATACCTCTAACATATTAGGAAACAAACGTACAAAAAAAGTTAGTGAACTCGTTAAAGGACACATACCTGGTAGATAGTAGATGTGAGATTTAAATCAGACCTGACTTCAAATCCCTCGCTTATTCTATCTACAGCCCCTCCCCTCTATTATTCCAGACTTATTCACTGTCAATGTTTCTTCTCAGACAACCAACATTCACTTTATCTTTTAAGTAATACCCTCAAAAAACACTATATATATAAGCTGATAGCTCCCAATTGCACTTTCCTGCCATTATTCTAGTCCAAGCAACCACCAATTCTCACCCAAACTACACCACTACAGATGGGACTCTTAACTGATCTCCAAGCTTCCATTCTTGCCTGTTCTCCCTACTTTCCTTCCCAATATCTACTTTAAGTGGACAGAGTGGATAAAGACAAAATTTAGATTGCACCTTCTTATGTGACATTAATGTCTCCACAGAAGGACTAGTTTTCTCGTCCCCTCTCTTTCAGTCAAAATGACTTATGCCACTCAAATATACCAAGATCATTTCAGGCTCAGAGATTCTCTGTACACTCTTCCCTCTTTTTCCATCTGTTTATTTAGACAGCTCACTCATCTGAATTAGGTTCCTGAATCAAAGTCATCCACTTGATCAGGCGTTCTCTAACCATCCCAGCTGAAAAATAAGATTACTTTCTGCCTCATCTCTTATTCTGCATAGCATTTACCATGATATGAAATTATATTAGTTTACTGATAAATAATTTACACTTGTAATCACAAATGTAAAACTTCTTGTAATATAAAAACAGAATGCTAGAAAAAAACATTTTAAAAGCTAATGGTTAAGAAAAATAGATTTATAGAAAAGAAAGAAAATGAAAATCTGTGGATTCTAAGGGAAACTTTTAAACAGAAGAAATTTAAAGTTCAAAGGCATTTAAAATTAGATCAAATTTTTATTTATAAAATATATAAGCTCTCCTCTATTTTAAGTACTAGCAATATTCTTATGCTTATTAGCTATGGTTAGGTTATCATTCAGAAACGTTTATAAATCAGATTTTTTTTTTTTAATCTCAAGAGTTCTTGTCTAGCTGGGCATGGTGGCACATGCCTATAATCCCAGCACTTGGGAGGCTGAGGCAGATGGTCACTGCAACTTCAAGGCCAGCCTGAACTACACAGCTAGACCTTGTCTCAAAAAAAAAAAAAGAAGAAATTCTTGTCTAATGCCCTGCACACACTAGTAATCCCAGCCCTTTGAGAGGCTGAAGTAGGGGGACTGCCAAGTTCAAGGCCAGCCTGAACTTCATAGCAAGATCTTGTCACTCCCCAAAAAAGTGTTTCTGTCCATAAATAAAAACACATACCATACAGACATAAAAATGAAACCAAGTAACTCCAAGACATGAAAAAATAGAATGGGCTTCTTGAAAGAGACTAACAGGGACAGAAAATCAGAGTAGAAGAGCTTGAAGATAATTAAGGCTAGAAATGAGGACAACCATCGGAGGGGGCAAAGGAAAGGCTGGGGTGGGAGAGTTACAAAGAAGGATAAAAACTGGAAAACTATAGCCAGAAGAGTAGCACTTTGTAGAAATGAAGCAAGAACACTTGTGGCTGAGTTATCAGGGAACAAGGAGATAATGCGGCTAGAGCTGAGAAAGGAAGCAGGCCTATCCTAAACCACAAAGGTCCTTACTTAAAAGGTCTTTTAAAAATGTTAACATGAGTGACACAACCAGATCTATTTTTAAGATCACTCTGAAGAGCTGTGAATAAATTAGGGGAGACAAGGGTAAGAATGGTGAAAATATTCTGCAAATAATTTCCAAACAACCTAGCTTTCATCTGTTTCTTCCTTTCCTCATTCCTACTTCATATTCCCCTCACTTAATTCCTGCCCCACACTTTTAAGCCAGATTTTGCCAAACAACAAACAACAGGCTAAGAAAAAATGTGAGGTTTTTGACTGTGTGCATCTGGGTATTTATCAGAAACATTCAGGTTATGCTACATAAACATTGCATCTATATAACACATAATTTAGTTTAAAAATAAGCAAGGTCTTCCACTACACACCTACAATAAAATACACACACACACACACAATCCCAACTCTCCAAAATGTTTTTAACTGACCTTAAAATTTGGAGAAAAATATCGGTTTGCCTTATCTTTATTTGCTTTGTCGAGATCATTTTTTGTTAAAGTAAGTACTAGATATTCTTTATCATTATTTGTACGGTCTATACTGCAAATACTATCAATTTCTTGATCACATAGACTTCCATTTTCTACTTTTTCTGAAGTTTCCTCTGGTCCTGGTATGAAGAATGTATTTACCCAAAAGTGAAACATTTTGTCCTAAAAAAGAAAAGAAATGACTAATTTTTTATCTTTAGAAAAAAAATGTCATCTACACAAAACATTTACCCTAAGAAGTAAATAAAACTATTTGATGTTGTGAATAAGGGTTAACACAATCTGTGGATTATCTGTTACATTTTCATTTACTATCATTTTTCTTTTCCCAAATTTTAGACCAAAAACACAACCTTGTCAGATTTGATATAATTTCATTCTGCTATGAAATCGTAAGCAAAACATACTTTTCTAGTCTAATACTAGCTTTTTAAAATGTTGAGTTTATTTGTATGTGTAGGTATAACAAAACTCAGAAACTTACTTTAATAAAGGTTCTTGGAAGGTTAGCACCATTTCACTGACAAAGCAAGCAAGTTACATTTTTACATGTACAGTATTACTGTAAAACAAACGTAAGTGGTTCCACTCTCTTATCTGACAATGTATGGATGGAAACTTTCAGAATAAAATGGGGGAGAGAGGTCTGATTTTTTGGTTACAAAATGTCTATTTTTTTAAAAACTTAACATGTTGGATGTGGTGGAGCATGCGTGAAAGTCCCAGCACTTGGGAGGCTGATGCAAAAGGATCGTCATGAGTTCAAGGCCACCTTGGGCTACATATTGAGTTCAAGGCCAACCTGGACTATATTGCAAGACCCTTCTCCACAAATCAAAACCAAAACAACACCGCATTGTGTCACTAGTGTAAAACTTGAAAGAGTTAATTTAAACTCGGAGGTATGATAGACACTGTGAAATGATAGGAAACCACCGAAGAGTAAAGGGCTTCTGGGATGTGGGAAAAGAGAAGGGAAAGAAGGAGAAATTTTGTATGTATGTATATACAGGATAGATAACATGGTTGTTCTTCTGTCTGCTGTTTCTATGCTGAAAGAAACTGTCAATGAGTCTTTGGCTGACCAGTATTGCATGTCTATATCTGTTTTCATAAGAAGCCACTTTGAAGATATCAATATGTAATACAACCACCATTGTTAATTCCCTACCACTTTGTTTGTAACTCTGTATTGTCTGTATTGTACTTGTGATATGTTGTAAAATGTTGTATGTCTGTTAATGTTTCCCTCCTTTTATCTTTAAAATAAAAAAAAAAAAACCAAAACAAAACAAAACCCTCTAATAATAAGCCTTAAAAACTACAACAGAAAAACTACATCACTTTAACCCTTTCTCAACAAAGAAATTAAGTCTGTATGAACACCTGACAGTAATGACATACAGCCTCATGACACGTTACCTGCTGCCTCATACTGCCATTTAATAAGCCTTTTATTCTAATGTGTCATTTTGTTTTTTTTTTTTTCCTCAAGATGATGAGACTCGGGGCTGGGGATTCAGCTCAGCGGCAAAGCGCCTGCCTGGCAAGCGCAAAGTCGTGAGTTCGGTTCCCGGTACCGGAGAAAAACCAAAAAAAAAAGATAATGAGACTCGTAAGGATCTTCCATCTTAAATTTCACTGTCTTTTAATAGTACCTAGCAAGACAAGTCTTTTTAAATATTTGCTACTTTTAATTATTTTAGCAAGGTCCCTGGGTTAATAATTTGATTTTATTTAGAAGAAAATAAGCCACTAATGTTTAAACTTTTAAAAATGTACGTCTGGCATGGTGGCACACACCTATAATCCCAGCACTTGGGAGGCTGAGAAGGAGAATCACTGCGAGTTTGAAGATGAGCCCAAGCCCAGCCTGAGCTACAAAGTGAGCTCAAGGTCAGCATGAACTGCATAGCGAGAAATGTGGATTCTTCAAGTGTACTGATTATACTAAAATGTTATAAATATTTAATCTTCAGTTTTATTAAGTACTAATGTAAAGTACAGAACAGAAGTGAGAATTAGCACTCCCTAAAGGTACAAGCAATGTGAAACAGGCCTCTACTTTTAAAAGTAAATATTTTGTGTACCGAAGTCTTACAATGAATAACAAGAGGAGGTGGATACCCAAAGCTTACTAATTATCTTAATCTTAAAACATGTGCTAACACTTTTTGGATTATCAAAAAGTAGTATTTTCAGCCTAGTATATGCCTGTAATCTCAGATAGTCTGAGAGACCAAGGCAGGAGGACCACAGGTTTGAGGCCAGCCTGAACAACTTATTGAGACTCTGTTTCAAGATAAAGTTTTTAAAAGGGCTGGGGGCATAGATCAGTTCAAGGCCGAGGGTTTAACCCCCAATACAAAATAAAAGTATAATAAAAATAAATTGAAAGCTATTTTGGAAATGCAGTTAACTTTTATTTATACAGATGAGATAGGAAATGTATTTCTGATTTTTAAAAAAATCAATTTAATATTTTGTGAGGGCCAGCTCATTGGTGCAGTGCCTGCCTGGCAAGGGCAAGGTCCTGAGTTCAATTCCCAGTACCCCACCAAAAAACCAACCAAACAAACAAAGAAAACTTTGTGATTTTTTTTTTTTTTTTTTAGCTACTTAGAGTGTAAAGGCAATTATATTTCTTCTGATAAATCAAAGCATGTTTAAACTTTTTTTAGGAAGTGAAACTCCCTATTATTTTCTTCCAAAAGAAAAACAGAGAACTATAGCCATCCTATTTCTGATAATGTCTAAAAATTAGCAATATGCTATCTAGTATGTTTAACAAGAGAGTAACACTACACAAAGCTTTTCTTCTTCTATGACTACATAAAATTCTGCACCCTAGAAATTCTTCACACTTAATTCTATACCAAGACGTTTTACAACTGAGCTTTTGCCTTCTCTAAATATAGCTCAGTAAAATGTAAATTTTACTGTCTAAACCTGCACATTTAAATACATTTTTTCCATTCTTTATTACTTCCTCTTCATACCTATTGCTCTCCTAGCTAAAGAAACTAAATACTACTTAGTAAATCTCTGGAAAATAAATATAAAATAACCCAGTCTCAAGAAACACAAAGCAAAATGTAGAAAATTAGTTTATGTTATTACATAAGTCCACAGAACAGATCTTACTGCTATATACTAAAAAAAAAATTAAATTTATGATCTCCTAATTTCTTCTCAGTTAATAAACCACCCTTTTAAAGATCATAATTGAATAGAGGTATGTATGCGATCTTAAATACTTTTACAAATTTTTTTTCCATAACCCATGTTAAGAAAAATTCCTCTCATGTTATAATAACATATAGCCTTTCCTTCTAACAAGCTCATCTATCTTTATAATGTCTCATTAATACCACAGTAAAGTGTCTATAGATCTAAAAGAACACTAACCATAGTTCATTAAACGTCACTCATAAAATAAAATACATCTTTTTATCTCTTGTTACAGAATGACTTCTGCCTAATCAAAGGCTTTAAACAAATGATCTGAGGTTATTCTGTAAGGCATAGCTGTTTTGTATATACTTTCCCAATAAAAACAAAGTGCAAACCTTTTTTAGCATCTTGTTCTGTTTGTGGAAGAACTCTACTTTGATGTCACCACACACAGGCAAGGGTTGAGGAAACTCAAAGTACATGAACTTGTCTTCCCGTCTTGTGGGTCCTGAATTGGAGGAATATATCTTCACCTTTAGCTGGCAGACCACAAATTGAGGATCTGCATGGTTAAATAAACACTAGTATCATTTCACAGGAAATGCCTTCAACTGTCAAACTGCAAAAACTTAATTATTTTAACGATCAATTATCAGCAATGTATACTAAAGGTTAATTCTCCATCTCCACTCCTGATCTGAACAAGCCAATGGAAAATAAACAGGTCAAAAATATAATCAGTGTAAACTGGGTGTGGTGGTGCATGCCTATAATCCCAGCACTCAAGAGGGTGAAGCAGGGCTGAGTCAAGAGGATCACTACAAATCTGAAATCAATCTGGGCTACAGAGTGAATGCAAAGCCAGCCTGAACGACATTAGCAGGACTCTGTTCAAAAACGATATATATATATAATATATAATATATATGATTTTTTCCAATCTGAACCTTCAAATTAAGGCCTTGTTACTAGCATGAAAGTCAATTCCTATTTCATGAATAGTAAGTCCCAAAATTAGACTTGGGACACTAAAATTATGCTAAAAATAATAACATAAATTAATTTAAGCACAAAAATGATTTCAAGAATTTTTTACCACATTTGTGAACTTTGTAAATGGTAACTTTTAAAATATATTATGTCTCTAACAGGAGCCAAAAATCATAAAATAAAAATTACTACATGGTCACAAGAGGAAAGAGAATATAACCTATAACGAATTATAAGAAATTCCACAAACACAAGCCTAGGTATTTATAAAAATACTAACCATCATTCTTATTACCTCTAGATCACATTTTATTTTTAAAGGTACATAAAGTCACCGTCATGACAAACAGGAAAAAAGAGATTTAAGATGTCTGTAAGGAAATGCAACTGACCTAAAGTAAAAACAGCAGCAAAATTTCCCCCTTCCCTCCAAAACACTCAGTTTGGTTTTGGCCTATGTCTTTTAAAATAACAGGCAAGTTTAACTTCTCAAAATTTATCATACTTATATGTCAGTAATTCAACAAAAAGGTGTAAAGTGTAGAAACAGATTTATATTTACTTTAAAATATATTCATAAATTCATTTATAGCTAATTTATGTTAATCATAAAAATGATGGACTTTAAAAAACCAATGAAATAACCAGTTTAATAAATACCTACTGACTTACCTATACAATACCTAAAGCAGTGTGAACTATAATAAATATATGTTCAATAAAAGCAGGGGAGCATTTCTAGCATGGATTTGTGAGAGATTTACTGTGAGAAAAGAGCCACCCCCAGAATAAAATATTACACCAACAATCTGTTAATAAACTTCACTTTTTTGACTAAAGTTTCAAATAAAGTTTCAATGAGTATAGTTTCACTGACATTTCAATGAGTGTAGTAAATCTTTATGTGATACTTAAAAGTTTTACTTGGAATCTAGCTTGATTAAGCAAATAAACAAGGCATGATGTCAAAGCTATGATAAAATTAACCAGGATAAAAATGTCTTATAATTTTCTTAATTTAGTTTTTTTTGGGTTTTTTTTGGTTTTTTTTCTCCAGTACCGGGAACCGAACTCACGACCTTGCGCATGCCAGGCAGGCGCTTTTGCCGCTGAGCTAAATCCCCAGCCCCTAATTTTCTTAATTTAAACACCATTAATTCAAAACTTGATAGCACTGATTATAGGATTTTTAAAAAAACTGATAGCATAATCCAGGCTTCAACTAAACTATGTGTAAAATGTACCTTTTCAAGAATTTTAAAATTGTTTAAGATATACATGTACCAACTCCCCATGAGGAATGTGGTCCTTATATATTATCAACATGCACTAATAAAAGAAATTAAAAAAAGAATTTTAGAATTTTTACATAAACAATTCACAAGCTAAAAAAAAAATTCAGCATTACTTAAAATGCCCATAAAAACTAAGCTAGGGTAAGGGATATAGCTCAGTGGCACAGCACTGCCTGGCAAGCTGAAGGTTGAGTTCTATTTCCAGTACCAAAAAAAACCTAAGTTAAAAAGCTTGTAATAAGTAGTAAAGATTTCTTAAAACCACTAAGGAAAATAATCTTCTCTACAATATAATTTCAAATTTTAGATCAAGAGGCTCTAACTTATCAGAAGCCCAAAATTTTAGTTGGTTCTTTTGAGTCCTAAGACATAATTTTATA